TTTCTCCGCTCCCGCCGAATTTTTCGTGACCCTGGGGGTCTTCTCCTTCCTCTACGCCATGGTGGCTCTGGTGCTGTACCTGCGCTTTCATTCCCTCTACGGCGAAAATAAGAAGCTCCCCTTCACGGTAAGGCGGCCGCGCCACCGGGATGGGACGGGATGGATCCTGCCCCGCTCCGTGCCAGGGTCGCGGCTGAGTCCGGTGTCCCCGTTCCGGCAGGATTTCTGCATCACCGTCTGCTTCGCCTTCTTCTGGCTGGTGGCGGCGGCGGCGTGGGGCAAGGGGCTGACCGACGTGAAGGCGGCCACGCGGCCGGGCAGCCTCATCGCCGCCATGGGCGTCTGCCAGGGCCAGGGCGTGGTCTGCAACGCCGGCACCACGCCGGCCATGGGGCTGGCCAACATCTCCGTGGTGAGAGCTGGGCACTGGTGGGCACTGGGTATAGGCACGCACACACGCATGTGTTCGCACGTGGGCATGTATAGGGGCACGCACACATGGGGACGTGTATTTATTTGCTGGGGGAGAGATTCGTGGTGCTTCAGGCAGAGCAAAGCGCCCCCCAGCCCTTGTGGGGGCACACGCGTGTGCACACACACGGGAACACACGTGCTCGTGGATGCCTGCATGTGCCAAACCCGTGCACAGGGACGGGCACCCATGCACACACGTTTTCACATGGAAATGCCCGGACACACCGTGCACACCGGGATGCACATGTGTGCACACGCGCAGGCATGCACACGTGTTCGCTCACACCCATGAGCCCTCGTGCGTGCACGCGCGTGCCGGATTCCCGAGCTCAGTCGGGAGAGGGCGGGGGAAACACACGCACACACGTGCTTCATGGCCACGGTGCCAACTCTGTGTTGGTCCCACAGGACATGGGACCCATCCTGCACCCCCATGAGACACCCCCCAGCCATGGGGGACTCACACACCAGGGTGGGCAGTGGTGATGCAGCCCCTGGCATAGGCGCGTGGGGTGCATGGGGGGAGTGAAGCACATGAGGTCCACAGGGCCATGAGTTGCGTGGGGTGCTTGGAACACGTGAGGTGCACGGGGTGCATGGGGCACATGAAGTGTATGGGTTGAATGGGGTGCACAGGGTGCATGGGGTGCAGGAGGTGCATGGGGCACATGGGGGGCATGGGATGCATGAGGTGCATAGGCTGCATGGGGCACATACGGTTCATGGGGTGCATGGGGCATGTGGGGTGCATGGGGCATGTGCACTGCATAGGGCACATGGGGCACACGAAGTGCATGGGTTGCATGGGGTGCATGATGTGCAGGAGGTGCCTGGGGTGCACAGGGTGCATGGGGTGTGTGGGGTGCATGGGGCACATTGGGTGCACAGGGCACATGGGGTGCATGGAGTGGATGGAGTGCGTGGGTTGCATGGGGTGCAGTAGGTGCATGGGCTGCATGGAGTGCATGAAGTACATGGGTTGCATAGGGTGCAAGGGGTGCAGGAGGTGCATGGGCTGCACGGGGTGCATAGGCTGCATGGAGCATGTGGGGTGCATGGGGCACATGAAGTGCATGGGGTACGTGGAGTGCATGCAGTGCATGGAGCACGTGGAGTGCACAGGGTGCTGCATGGGGTGTGTGGGATGCATGAAGTGCATGGGGTGCACGGGGCGCACAGGACTCGTGGGGTGTGTGGGGTGCATGGGGCACACTGGGTGCACAGGGAGCATGGGGTGCATGGAGTGCATGGGTTGCATGGGGTGCATGGAGTGCAGGAGGTTCATGGGGTGCATGAAGTGCATGGAGCACGTGGAGTGCACAGGGTGCTGCATGGGGTGTGTGGGGTGTATGGGATGTATGGGGCACGTGTGATGCACAGGGCACATGGGGTGCGTGGGACGCATGAAGTGCATGGGGTACACGGCGTGCACGGGGCACACAGGGCTCGTGGGGTGCCTGGGGCTGGGTCTCACCCATGGGTGCCCCCCTCCGGGGGTCCCTCCTCTCCCCCCAGCTCTTTGGCTTCATCAACTTTCTGCTGTGGGCCGGGAACTGCTGGTTCGTGCTGAAGGAGACGCCGTGGCAGGCGCAGGCTGCGCCCCGCGACCCACAGGGGGCCATCGACAAGCAGTAGCCACCCCCGGGGGGTCCCACCTGTCCCCCGGGACCTCGCGCCGGCCGCCAGCCCGGGGACGGGGTGTCGCTGGCCCCGGGGTTGGAGACGCTATAGAGGGGGGTATGGATGCTATAACGGGGGGGGATACGTAACCCCGGGTAGGGGGCATGAACCACTGCTGCCTGGCTGTATATAGGGGTCTGTGTAACTCGGGGTGTCCCATTCCCTATAGGGGGCTGTATGTGTAACCCTGGGGTGTCCACATCTGTATGGGGGGGGCGTATAAAAGTCCTGGGTACCAGCTCTATATAGGGGTGTGTATAACCCCTGGTGTCTGGCTCTGTATAGAGGGTATATACGTCACGTGATTGTCCTGCTCCGTTTAAGGGTATATATAACCCCTGGATGTCCTGCCGTGTATAAGGGGCTTTATATAAGGGATATATACAACTCCTGGTTGTCCTGCTCTGTATAAGGAGCTTTATATAGGGGGTATATATACCTCCTGGATGTCCTGCTCTGTGTAAGGGCATATATAAGCCTGGAATGTCCTGCTCTGTATAAGGATATACATCACACCTGTGTGTCCAGCTCTCTATAGGGATATATATAAGTCCTGGGGCCCCAGCGCTGTATAGGGGCTATATGTAACTCCCAGGCTTCCTGCTCTGCATATGGGTAACTCCTGGTGTCCTGCTCTCCATAAGGGTATAGATAATACCCGGTGTCCAAAGGGGATATATAAGCCCCTGGGTGTCCAGCTCTCTATAGGGGATGTATATTAACACCTGGATGTCTACCTCCATAAAGGGACATATATAACACCTGGGCGCTCAGCTCTATACAGAGGCTGCATATAACCCTGGGTATCCAGCTCTATTCAGGGAGTAATTAAACACCGGGTACCTCTATAGGGGCTATATATAACCCCTGGGCATCCTGCCCCATATAAGGATGACATCGGGTTCCTAATCCTGTGTAGGGGATATATATATATAACTCCCAAGTCCCCAGCTCTGTATAGGGGGTATATGTCACCCTGGCTGTTCATCTCCATATAGGGGTAACCCCTAGGTCCCCAGCCCCATATAGGGGGTGTATGTTCCCCCTGGGAGTCCAGTTTTGTATAGGGATAACCTGGGTCCCCAGCCCTGTATAGGAGGTGTATATATAACTCCTGGGTTCCCAGCCCTGTATGAAGGTATATGGAACCCCAGCTCCCAACCCCATATAGGCAGTATATGTCGCCTCTGGGTCCTCAGCCCCATATAGGGATAACTCCAGGTCCCCAGCCTTATATAGAGGGTATATAGGACTCCTAGATCTCCAGGGGTGTATATATAGGGGTGTATATAACCCTCAGGTCCCCAGCCCTGTATAGAGGGTATATAGGACCACGAGGGGTATATATAGGGGGTATATAAAACTTCTAGGTCCCCATCCCTGTATAGAGAGTCTATAGGACCCCCAGATCCCCAGGGGTATATACAGGGGGTATGTATAACCCGCAGGTCCCCAGCCCTGTATAGAGGGTCTATAGGACCCCCAGGTCGCCAGGGGCATATATATAGGCGGTACGTATAACCCCTGCGTCCCCAGCTCTGTATAGAGGGTCTATAGGACCCCCAGGGGTGTATATAGGGGATATACATAACCCCCGCGTCCCCAGCCCTGTGTAGAGGGTCTGTAGGACCCCCAGGTCCGCAGGGGCATATATAGGCGGTATGTATAACCCCTGCGTCCCTAGCCCTGTATAGAGGGTCTATAGGACCCCCAGGGGTATATACAGGGGGTATGTATAACCCCCAGGTCCCCAGCCCTGTATAGAGGGTCTATAGGACCCCAAGGGGTATATATAACCCGCGGGTCCCCATCCCTGTATAGAGGGTCTATAGGACCCCCGGGTCCCCAGGGGCATATATAGGCGGTATGTATAACCCGCAGGTCACCAGCCCTGTATAGAGGGTCTACAGGACCCCCAGGGGTATATATAGGGGTATGCATAACCCCGCGTCCCCAGCCCTGCGCAGAGGGTCTATAGGACCCCGGCCCCGGGGCACCCACAGGGGTGTCTATGTAACCCCCGGCCCCGCACAGCGGGTAGTTCG